ACTCATTCAGTTGTAAGAACTGAAGTGTTAATACATATATACCACCAAGTAAGTGCTATGTAAAGTCTGCTTTTATTTTTACTTTCTTACCAAGACAGATTTTTATGGTTCTGTCCTGAAAAAGCTCCCCCAAGTAAAATGTACTTAATGTACCCATAAAGAACATGATTTTATATTCATTAAGCTGTGATGCAGGTTAGTGCTAAGCCCCCAAAATGAGAAATCATTACTGTCAAAGCAATAAAAAAAATCATAAAATCTAATTTTAAAAACTGTATACCATTGTGACACTCAATTTTTTTTTTTTTTTTTTGTACCAGGGATTGAACTTGGGTCTTTGCACTTGCAAGGCAGGCCACCAAACCGCTGAGCTAAATTCCCAGCAAAAAAACTGTATACCATTGTCACCAATAAGAAGTGATACTTTCTTTGGTCTCCAGCACCTCCCTGCAAAATTGTTTTAAGTGATGCTTTCCCTGGATTTAAAACCTGTCTTTCTTTCTTTTTCTTTTTTTAAGACAGGGTCTCACTTTGTACTTCAGGCTGGCCTCAAACTCAGTGATTCTCCTGCGTCAGCGTCCTGACTCCAAGTATTACAGGTGTGCTCCACAATACCTGGCTAAAACTTATTTTAATTTTAATTATTTTAAGTCATATTTAACTCAGAAATATACCAATAAAGTCAAATTCAAAATTTAAATATAAATTGGGCATGGCAGTACAAGCCTGTAGCTCCAGCTGTGCAGGAGGCTAAGGGGGAAAGGTCACTGGAGCTCCTAAATTCAAGACCAGCCTGAACAACAAAGCAAGACTATGAGATTCTATCCAGAAAAAATAAAAAAATTTAATAGCTTAAATATATATTTTTGTAACTGTTACAGTAGATGCCCAAACTGTATTTGCTGAAAGAAATTTATTACAATGATCATTGCTAACTATTTTCTGGGGAGGGAAAAACAATATACATAGTACAAACATTAACCAAACCAATAAGTTTAAGTGCATCTAAAACAATCCGTAGTTAAAATCTTTAAGAAATTAAATGTTGACTGATGGGTTAATCTGTTAACTTATGTAAAGTCAGTCAGTATTATATAAACTACACATTTCCTTTTCTGATTTTAAATGCTTTTTATATTCAAAAGGGGAAACAAATTTTATGAGGCCTATGTTTTAAACGTGTTTTTAAATTTACTATAAATAACAAAAAATATCTTAATTACCTCAGAATTTCATAATTAACTACCCCAGGACTTAGGTAGATGGGACTAAACAAAAATATCAAGATGATGACATCCTGTTTGCTTACCACTCTCTATAGAGCATAGTTCATACATTAAGCCATATATTCTATATAGAAACATCCACTTGTTCTTAAGTTAATCAGAAGACAGAAAGTCCACCTATTTTATTTTCCATTATACTATACAATATTTCACTCTAGTAGTATAAAACAGTTAGATAAATGTATGGGAGAATAAACTATTCCAGTATTTTAAAATATACAGTGTGTTTCTATTTGCACTATTCTTTCTCACTTATAAAAGAGGATAAAGTCATGAAGCACTTAGACAGATCACAAAAACCATGATATGGCCAACATTAAAAGGTAAGGACATGTAGGAGGTATATTTTGTTTCTTTAACATTTAAAACTATATCATCCTTAAAACACATCATAGGGGGCAAGGGCAAAAAATAATGTAAGAACATGTATACAGTAGTAAGAAGTTAAAAAGAAACAAATGCAAATGAAGCCAAAATAATACAAACAAGAAAATCTGGTTAAGTATAAAACTAATATGCAAGCAACGGGTGGTGGCATATGTCTGTAATCCCAGCACTCAGGAAGGCTAAGGTGAGAGGATCACAAATTCAAACCCAGCCCAGGCAACTAAGCAAGTCAATGAGAACTGCCTCAAAGATTAAAACGAAAAAAAAAATTTGTAAAGGGCTGGGAATGTACCTGCATATGAAAGCCCTGGGTTCAATCCCCAGTACCACAAAAAATAAAAACCTAATATGCAAAATTGTGTTTTAAATTGAGCTCTCAGGTTTACAAAATAACACTTTACCAAACTAAGTTAGAAATTGCTATAAAAAAAACAACAGTGAGGACTGAAGCTCAATGGCAGAGCACCTGCTAACATGCAGAAGTCCTGGGTTCAATTCCAGGCAGAGCAAAACAAAAACCCAACAGTGATTCTTCTCGAGTTTTAGGAAGGAACACACACTAAGACATCTCCAGTGACGGGAGAGGGGAGGTGACAGCTCATTTGGCAGCTAGGTAAGAGTGACAGGCTTTTCAGTAATCAGAAAGTCTATCAGTGAGTGTTCTATACAGAGGCCAGTAGCATGACCACAGCTGCTCCAATGAGAATATAGGATGTTCATTTCATTTAGTAGCTTCTATGCAGAATTTATATCATAATAGGCAAAAATCATTTTTTAAAATGTTCTTGTAGTATTGAGGACTGAAATCAGGGCCTTTGTACTGACCGCCCCAGCCTTTTTATATGTGTGTGTGTGTGTGTGTGTGTGTGTGTGTGTGTGTATATATATTTTTTTTAATTTCTTCATTTCAGACAGGATCACCCTAGGTTACTAGCTGCAGTCTTCTTGACTGTCTCTCAGAGGCTGGGATTATATGTGCATGTGTCACCACCCTAGGATAGTCAAAATCATTTCAGAAAAAAAAAAGGAATTCCTAAAACTGTTCAACCTGTGCACAAAATAGTTTCTATTTCCTCTTTGAAGGTAAAATGATTTTGGCATGGATCTTAAAATCTATATTACAAATTTCTGATCCTAATAGCTTTCTCTCTCTCTCTCTTTTTTTTTTTTGGTAACGGAGATCAAACTCTGGAACTTGCACTTGCAAGGCAGGTGGTGGCACCACTGAGCTAAATTCCCAGCCCTCCTAATAGTTTTCTTATGAAACGTGTTTGAAACAACTTACTAAATACTATATTATGCTCTCCAACCTATAACTAAAATTACTACTCTGAGTGTGTGCAAGGCTTTATTTACAAAAACTAGTCATTAATTCTTTAACATATAAAATGAAGCAGTATGTTTAAATATTATGGTTCCCTGCAGCTATGAACCCACAGAAATTTATATAGGTTTAGACGTGTTCAAGAAATACAAAGATCAGAAATGAAAAAGGTTGAAAGTTGGTCTTGCATGGATCCAAATTTGGGTGTATCTATCAAGTTCCTGTGGCTTTTTAACAATTCTGAAAACCTAGAGGCAAGGAGGCAACTGAAATCAGCCCATACTCATGGGGTTAGTTTTCAAGGATGGAAAATGATGAGGCCAGATCGTATAGAAGTTAGAGTTTTCCAGTGTAGGTGTTGGGGAGGAGGTACAGAAAAAGGGGCTTCCCTCAGCAGTTAAGTCTGGAAAACTGACCAGAAGGGTCTTGCTCTGTGGCATCTAGGACTAACATGGCCAAGCTCCAAAGTCCTTTGCTAAAAATAGGTATAGGGAGCAACCCAATTTTGGAGTAAGCCAATCTATGCTACATTCTCATATGTATATGAGAGAACTCAGACAAAAGAGAAGATACTAAAAGCTGTATTTTCTCTGTCCACATTAAATTACTGTTTTAGTGCATGATTTATATGACTACAGAAGCTGATCTCATACATACACATACATACACACATACACACAAATCTTGCAATGCAATACATACTAGGCATCCATCATCAGAATGAGAAAACAAAAATAAGGATTATCAAACCCTGTACTTCAAAATATACCTGAGATCACAAAATATGGGAAATGGGACACCAATCACTATTAAGTCCAATCCCTTCATATTATGGACAATTTTAAATCTCCAGAGAAATTTAAGAAAGATGCCTTCCATTTCAAAATGAGAAAAAGATAGATTCAGGACTAAGGTAGTAATAGTAAAGGAAAAATAACTTGAATATTCTAAAAAGTGAAGTACCTGCAATGAAAAACCGGGAAGAAAAAAACAGAAAATATGTTAATATGGTAACAAAAAAAGTATAGGTGTCAAGGATAGGGATATGTATCTGCATTCTGCATTCAACTAAAGAAAATTACTTTGAAATTACAATAGTGAACTCATCAGAATAAGTATCCGTAACAACAGATTAAAATTTTTGAGAGTAAGCTTCTAAATTTGAGGCTAATAGTCTTCCAAGACACTCAGTCCTGGCACTGCAACTGTCCTCTAAGTAAAGCCCAGGCAGAACACAGAGCTGACCATCCCAGAACATTTTTGCCTCAGCTGTGCACATCTATTCTCATGGGATAGAGAACACAAAACTGACAGAATGTCCTCATGACCTGTCAATTAACAAGACCACACAAGCCCAAAGGCGAAGTACCGTGTGGCTGCCACCTGTTAGCGGCTCTTGAGAGCCCCAAAATTGAACTCCAGCGAAGAACTGAGGATGCCTTTGTTGTTCTTTAGTACGGAAGCTACCAGAGCTCAATCTAACCCCGCGCCTCAAAGCAAAGTTTACCCCCGGGGGAAGGAAAGTCTTCCCAGGCTGGGGCTTTGGCAAAGTCTCCTCTAGCTAAGAAAAAGCACAACTCCCAGGACAGCATTAAAGTCATCAACTAGTCCGAAGAGAAGGAAAAGGCCAAAGATAAGGAAAGCCGAAGAACCGAGATCCAAGATCTTAAAAAAAGGACTGGTTTCGAAGTAGAGAGCGTACACAATGAGGAGCTGGGCTGTCCCGTGAGTTAAAGAACAGACATTGGCGGCTCACCCGGTCAAGGAAGAGAGGTGCTAAAATGAGGAATACTAGAGGCAGTGGCTGAGGTGAAGGCAAGAAACCCTGGTTATAAAGGGGCGGATGAGGCTGAGCAAAGAAAGACAAAACCGAGGTGAAAGAGGCAAGGCCAATGTGAGGTAAAGGGCTGAAGTGAGGGAAGAACAGCAGAAAAAAGGAATAGGCGAAGAGAACCCCCCACCCACAGGGACCGAGGCAGAATTCTTGACCCGTCTCCCTACAGGCTGTGATCGACCTGCCGCGCTCTGATCCTGTCTGCAGCGGAGACTCACCCAAAGGCTGCAGAAGTCCCAGAGTAAGACATGGGGACCGGCCCAGACCCAGAGTAGAACCAACAGAGTGGAGGAAACCGCGGTGTTAGCGCGACCCGGATGCGCATCCCTAGGAACCGGAAGTAAGACGCAGGGTCACCTCACAATCCACACTTCGTTCGCCAGAAGCCTCTGGGCGCATGCGTCATGCCTCTGGGGGCGGGGCAGTGCCTGGTGAGCCCCGCCCCTGGTCACGCCCGTCTCGGCGCTCAGAGTTGTGCTGCGAACCAATGAGCTTGATGATTCTGTGCTGCTTAGCTACGACAGTTGGGATAAGGAGTACTTCAACTCTAGGGTTCCAAAGAAGAGTTTGTTTTGTTTTGATAGGTACTGGGGATTGAACCAGGACTTTCACACTCAAGTACATCCCAGACCTTTTTATTTTTTAATTTGAGATAGGGTCTCGCTAAATTGCCCAGATGGGACTCGAATGTGGGATCTTTTTGCTTCACCTCCCGCCAAGGAGGTCTTTTAAATATGTTATTCTTAGCTCCTTAAAGAGAATGTGAGGAGGGCTGGGGATTTACCTCAGCGGTTCTGCCGCCTGCCACGCAAGCACAAGGACCCGCGTTCGATCCCCGCTACCACAAAAGCGAAAATGTAAAGATAAATGCGAGATACAAGATTTCTTGGAAAAACCGAGGAGAAAGAATGGACTGGAAGTGTTGCAAGACACTTCTCGAAGGCCAGCTCAAGGTGATCTTTTTCTCTCCAAACTTATTTTATTCCTAATATTATTATATCATACATTAATACATTGTTTTCAGAAAAAAAAATTTAGTATTTAGTTTAAATTTACAACCCAAATATGGGCAAGGAGCAAGGTTTTATTCAGTTTTTGTGCAGACATGAAGTTTGAGGGGAGGTCCTCTTTAAGAAAAGAACCCGGTCCTGTGTGGTGGCACATGCCTGTGAAATCAGCACTCTGGAGGTCCACGAGGACTATCACTGAGAGTTCAAGGTCAGCCTGGACTACCTAGTGAGACCTTGTCCAAAAAAAATTCCAAAATTACAAATATGATATTACACATAAAATTAAGTATGAGAAAATAAATAAAAAAATTTTAAAACTAGCTAATAAACTAGCCACAAATTTAAAATTCAGAGAAAAACACTATTTTTATTAACTGATACATCTATACTTTTTCCGCTTTCATTTCTTGGCTATGTAGTTTTTGGTCGTCTCTTTCTATGATAACAATTTATTAAGCAGTGTCATTTACTAAGCACTTTCATTCCTTTCTCACACCTCTATCTAATTCATCAGCATAATCTGTTTGAGCTGCCTTCAGTATCTGACTCGATAGACCACTTACTCTCTCTGTTGATATAACCCAATCTGTGACCCTGAATGCCGCCTCCCCTCCCAGAATCAATACAGTACAGAAGGCTCCTGACAAGCCTTCATCAGATCATCTACCCCATAAAATGAACTATTTTGGAGTGAAAATAAAATCTTTACACTGATTTTACAGTGTTCATTTTTTGTTCATGAATGTATTTCAGCACACAAGCTTGGCAGCTGTAGGTGTCCAGTAAATATTTGTTGAATGAAAGGACACATTGCTTTTTTTTTTTTTTTTTAGATACTATCAGTTCAGGATGGCCTTGAACTTCCTATATAATGTAGGCTGGCCTCAAACTTGTGGCAGTCCTCCTGCCTCAGCCTCCCAGAGTGCTGGGATTATAGACATGAGCCACCACACCCAGCCCCTGGCTTACTTTATTTATTTTTGGTGCCAGGTATTGAACTCAGGATCTTGTGCTTGGGAGTGGTGCCGCTGAGCTAAATCCCCAGCCCAAATTTACTTTATTTTAAAATAAATTACTCTTTGGTCTTTGCTTCTTATCCGAAACCAAGTGAGCTGAGCCACCGAGCCCACAAGAGGGAGCCCGCAAGTAAACAATGATATGTCCCCAGAAAAGCTATTCCTAGAGCGTGTGCTTACTGTAAATACAAACGCGCAATTCGACACAGAGATACAGGGAAGCACACAGATTCCTCTCCTGAGCAGAGAGTGTTGTGCCTCACTAGCAACCATCGTCATCACCATCATTGTTACCTCCAATGTCTTTATAGTCCTTTAAGAATAAAATCCAGGGGGCAGGGATTTGGCTCAGTGATGCCCCCCCCCACCCCGCCTGCCTCTCAAGCACAAGGTCCCCAGTTCGATTAAAAAAAAAAAAAAAAAAAAAGAATAAAATCCACTTCTTCCTATGACCCTTCTTGGCCTGACCTTCCTAACCCTAACCCAGCCACCTTCCCTCTTTCTGTTTCTTGTGCAAACCAGGCTTTCTTGCCTCAGGGCCTAGGCCCTTCCTGTTCTTCAGTGCCTCCAACCTTCCACGAATAGAACCTTCCAACCTTCTGCTAAGCACAGTTAAATTTCACCTCCCGAAGCCTCCCGACACGCCCGTCTTTTGTCTAAAGTAGCTCCCTCACCCCTTTCACATACTTTATCTTTCCTACATGTTCCTATCGCCATTTGCAATTATCATGTTTACTTATTTATTGTCTGTCATTGAGAAGTTCTTCAGAGGTCTTTCTCTCTTGTTCACTACTGAAGTCTTGGCACTAGACAAGTGCCTGGCAACATGAAAAGTGCTCCATAAATAAAACAGAATTACTAATATTTACTGAAGCTTTACTCTGTACCACTGACTGTACAAGTAAATATGGATGTGCCTACGTTTCACTTTTAATTCTCCCATCAAACTTGGGAAGTATTATGATGACTTCCATTTCACAGATGATGAAACTGAGGCAGGGAAAAGTCAAGCAACTTGTTTAGGGCCGAGTGGCTGGCAAGAATCAGACCCAGGACTTGATCTGTATGTCTTTAGAACCTAGGACTTTAGCTACTGGACCATGCTCTTCTCCTACGACAGAAAGAGCTGCAGGTAGCCAAAGACGAATTTATTTATTTACAAATTTCTTTTCTCTGATTTCATGCATTTTTGCTTGCCATAGTCAGCAAAGAGTAGAACGGTTTGTGAGTTTTTACACTGCCCTACAGTACTATTTCTGTGGATAAATTCAAAGAAATATGGCAGAGATATGGCTACGAATTTTAAGTTCTCTAATATTTCTTATATTATTTTCTATGGATTTGAATTATTTCATTCAAAATTTAGCACAGAAATTATTAATATAGTAGAAAATATTATTACTAAATATTTCTAAACAAAAGCTAAAATGTAAATCTAAACAAAAAACTACATTAAAAAGGTCTAAAGATAAGGCCTGTAACTGTATATTTCAACTTTTTTTTTTTTTTTTTTGAGACAGGGTCTCACTATGTAGTTGAGACTGACCTGGAACTCACTATGTAGCCCAGGGCCAGTCTCAAACTCACAGCGACCCTCCTGCCTCAGCCTCCCAAGTGCTGGGATTACAGGCGTGTGCCACCACCCCTGGCCTATATTTCAATTTTTAAAACACAGTGAGTATATCACTGTGTTTTGTAAGAGTTATAAATTTATTATACACACACACACACACACACACACACACACACACGCATTTTTTTTTTTTTTTTTTTTTTTTTTTTTATGGTTTTTTTTTTTTTTTTTTTTTGGAGACGGTCTTTCTATGTATCCCAGGCTGGCCTCAACCTCCTGGCAATCCTCCTGCCTCAGCTTCCCAAGTGCTGGGATTACAGGCACACACAGCACAGTTATCAGTTTAGACCCTCCTGTTTGACATATCTGAAATACAATGATGTGGTTTTTTTAAAATTTCTTTTCCAAAAAGCCAGGCACGGTGGTGCACGCCTGTGATCCCAGCATTCAGGAGGCTGAGGCAGGAGGATCGCTATGAGTTCAGACCAGCCTGGGCTGCATAGTGAGTTCCAGGTCAGTCTCAACTACACAGTGAGACCCTGTCTCAAAAAAAAAAAAAATTTCTATTCCATTTCCTTGGTATATTATCTTCAGCCTGTCCACAGGAATATTTTTCACATGGTTACTATTTGTTTTTCCCAACAAACCGGTATCAGTTCACAACATCCAAGGTCTCTTGCTTGCTTTGTAGGGAATGCTACAGACTCAAGAGTTTTATGAACACAATACAGAAATCCATACTATAAAACAATGACCAGGAATTGAAACTAGAGCCATGGAATTCCACATGAGAAATAAATGGAACATTTCCTGCATCCTTATCAGAGTCTGCTTTGTATTTATTAAGACCCACATTCAGGGTGTACTCTTGTTATCTATTGCTATCCAACTATCCCAAAACTCATTAGCTTAAAACAACCACTGGATTATCTCAATATATTTTCATTCAGGAATTTAGCCAGGGCTCAGCAGGATAATTCTTCTGTTCCTGCAACATCTATCAGTTACTTGGTAACAGTCTAGCTGGCAGGCTAGGCTAGTCTGGAGGGTCCCACCCAGCCTTACTTGGGTGGCTGGCCCTTAAGGGGCTGGCCAATAAGCTGGTCTCAGCTGGCTCCCCTCTCCATGTAGTCTCAGAGCCTATCCACATTCCACATGATATATCAGGGTGGTTAAATCTCTTACACACCAGCTCAGGCCTCCACACCGAGAGGTTATAGAAGCTGCCGTTCTTTTAAGGCTGACCTAGAACCTGAGACTGCATCATTTCCAGCCCAGTCTATTGGTCAAAGCAGTCATAGTGTTCACCTAAACTCAAGGCAGGCAAGCCCACCTCTGGTCAACGCAGTGCCAAAGAATTCGTGGCCTTCTTTAGTCCATCACAGAATATAGACTTTGTACTCTGTGTCTGACTTTTTTCCTCCCCATAATCCTTGTCCTAATAACTTATATTTCTCTCTCTTTCTCTTTCTACCAGGGATCAAACTCAGGACCTTGCGCTTGTGAGGCAGGTGCAGCACCACTGAGCTAAATCCCAAGCTCAATTTATATTTCTGCCACTTCTGTAATCTGATGTTTTCCAAAAAGCTCCCAAATGTGTCCCAAGGACACATTCATTTTCATGAGTATCTACCTGTTTATTTAGCAACTACTTTGTAATACTGTAGGCTCTGAAGACAGAGTAAAAGTAAATCAGACCAAAAAAACCCTACTTTCATGGAGTTCATATTCTAATCAATCCATAGACAGAAATGTATTGAATATGTCCAGCTAAGGCTCAGCCTCCTTCCCCATTTCACTCTAGAGAGCATCCGTATACCACAGAGGTGGGAAGGTTTTAAAATAGCATTTCTGAGTGTCTATAGTCCCAGCTACTCAGGAGGCTGAAGCAGGAGAACCACTTGAACCCAGGAGTTCAAGACCAGCCTGGGCCACACAGCAAGACCCCCTCTCAAAACAAATAAATAAGCTGGCCTTTGTTGGAGGGCACTGTGATACACACTTGTAATCTCAGCACTCTGAGCTAAGAGCATGAGTTCAAGTCCAGCCTGGGCAAGTTAGCAAGGCCTTGTCTCACAACAATAAATAAAAAAAGAAGATGGGGCTATAGCTCAGCACAAAAACCCTGGGTTTAATCTCCAACTCTCCCTACACACACACACACACACACACACACACACACACACACACACTCACACACACACACACTCAAAAGGCAATTTTCAGGCTCTCTTGCCAATAGATTCTGAATGAGAACCAGATATTGTCAACTGGATGCACCTGCTTACAGTGTGCAAGGTACAAATGAGCACGAAGCCATTTTTCCTGCATTTCTGGCCATTTCTTCTGGCCAATATAATCATCACTGGAGATGTGAGATTTTCCACAGATGCGTGTCCATTTCTAGCCTCCCTCCATGAGTTTTGAAAGGCAGTTACAGCAACAGCAACTGTAAAGGGAGTAGTTACCCAATTCTAGCTTCCCTATCCTTGAATCTTAGTTGCACAGGTATATTCATAAAATCAGTAATTTGGGAGCTGGCCTCTGATTTCCCATTTCCATCTTTTCCGGTGATTTTATAAGCCTCCAATTTCCTAAATAAATTGCTTCCTGCTTAAAACACCCAGAAAACTTTGTTTCCTGAGCTGATATAGTACCTGCCTGAGAAGGTACAATGTTAAAATTAAAGTAATTCAGCTCATACTCTTTGCCTTCTAGATAGACTCTTACGCATTTACCATTTCTGAGGGTCATATTAGATTCTCTTACGTGGAAATCTAAGCGTCTGCTTTTCTTGTCTTTAACTTCTCCCAGACAGTCCGCAGCTCCACACTTTTCAGGACTGGTTGGACATGACCAGCTCCCTAGCAATAGAAAGCCAGGATCAGAGCACCAGGTTGTGCAGTGAGCAGCAAGTTTTGGAAGCTGTGGAAGCTTGGGAAAAAGCAATCCCAGTTCTCTAGCTAAACTATACAAATATAAGATAATAAAAATGATCTAGATCGGTGGTTCTCAAAGTATGGTCTTGGTTCCTCCTGGAGATCTCTGGAGCATTTACTCTCCCAAGAAGTAAGTGAAATCGAAACTACTTTAGACATATATCCCGCCCCCCATACTGGGGATCAAACTCAGGACCTTGAGCTTGCAAGGCAGGCGTGGTGCCACTGAGTTAAATCCCAGGCCCTAAAACTACTTTAAAAATAATACTAACTCATGATTTGCCTTTTCCACTCTCATTGTCTCAAAATTGTGGTGGAGCTTTGCAGAGATTATGTGATGATGTCCTTGCTGATGGCCAATGGAATGTATGCTGGTATGTTCTTGTATTTTAAAAATTCCTTAGTTTTAGGGCCAGGGATTTAGCTCAGTGGTTCCAAGCGCAAGGTATGGAGTTCAATCCTCGGTACCAAAAAAAAAAAAAAAAAAAAAAGCCTTAGTTTTAATTTCTGAAACAGCAGATATATTAGCTGTAATCCATATAAACAAAAGTTCTTTGGGGTCCTCCATAGTTACTAAGAGTATTAGGTGATCTTCAGATACTTGAGAGCTGCTCCCAGGGTAGTTGTACGGACACGTTCTTGTACTCTTGGCAACGGCCCCCACCCTCACCATTCCTGGACACCTGATTCCTACATGGTCAAGCTCCTGCCATGTCCAGCCCTCTCCTACTAGGATGCCTTTCTATTTTGATTTACATACTTGAGGCAGTGTCTTCTTGCACAAATGTCCAGTAACAGCTGTCATGGCACAGCCTTGGGACTTCACATAACTGTGGACTGTCCTCATGAACAATGTTAGACCCATAGACCACAGCCCCTGCCCTTACTGGTGCAAGATTATCATTTCTGGCTGGATTCATCTGTTTACCAGGTTTCAACCCTGTCTTAAGTCTGTTGAGCACTAGGGTGACCCGTGTTGGTCTTCTGTTCCTACACTGGTTTCCCTTCTCGTCTGATGGCCCCCGCTGTGAGGATCACAACTAAGCTGGGCCATCCCACCCTTATCCCTTCCAATTCCAGAGTGTGATCTGGGTCAAAGTGAGGTCACTTGGAAGTTTCCTGACAACTAGGTAATGAATTAATATTTGCCTTTAATTGTGGCCATAACTTCCCCTAGTAATTCCATTATCTCTGGTTTTGTATTCTGTAACTAGGTTTAACCTTAAAACATAGACTGAGCCTGGCCTGGTGGCACGTGCCCGTGCCAGCACTTGGGAGACTGGGACAGGAGGATTGCCATGAGTTCGAGGCCAGCCTGGGCCACATAGTGAGTTCAAGGCTAGACTCAAACAAACAAACAAAAAGCAACATAGAATGTTAGTAGTGGATATTTCTTATGGATAGAATTAAGGGGACTATTAATTCCATCGTCTTTAAATTTACTTTTTTTTTTTTTTCCTGTAGCGAGAAAAAGGATTCTGGGTCTATTTTTTTTGAGACAGGGTCTCACTATGTAGTTGAGATTGACCTGGAACTCACTATGTAGTCCAGGCTGGTCTCAAACTCACAGCGATCCTCCTGCCTCAGCCTCCAGAGTGCTGGGAGCACAGGCATGTGCCACCACACCTGGCCAGGATTCTGGGTCTGGATACACAGTTCATTGGTAGAGCACTTGCCTAGCATGCCTAAGGCCTAACCCTCAGCACTAAAAAAGAGGGGAAAAAAAATCACAAGAACTCAAGACAGATTGTGTCTGAATTTCAGCTTTCAATGCTTCAGTTTTCCTATAGGGAAAGTGAAAATTTAAAAAAAAACATCAGTAAGAAGCAGGTGGGAGAGAGAGAGAGAGAGAGAGAGATCCCTTATCTCATTGGGTTGTATGGTGATTAACTATATGCAAAGCACTTAGAATTATGACAGGTACATACATATATAAAAGTGATTACAAATCAAACTGGGTGTGCACACCTCCCAGCACTGTGTGAGGCTGAGGCAGGAGGATCACAAATATGAGTCCAGCCTGTGCAACTTAGCAAGGCTCTGTCTCAAAATAAAAAATTAAAAAAGGGCTAGCTAGAAATGTAATTCAGTGTGAAGGCCCCTAGGTTTAAGCCCCAGTATTAAAAAAAGTCAGAAAAGAATGAAAATACAGAACTATTCTTTGAAGCTTTTATGAATTTAGAGATATGAAAAAAATACCGTACAATAAATTTTAAAGTTCTGATCTTTGTCAAGAAACTTGAGAAGATGAGCCACTATTAACCTAAGTGCTAGAGAATGCTAAGCACTTGATTATTCAATCCTTTTATTTAGAAAGATAAGAGCGTGGTGGTGCACACCTATAATCCCAGCACTCGGGAGGCTGAGGCAGAAGGATCGCTGTGAGTTTGAGACCAGACTGGGCTGCATAGTGAGTTCTAGGTCACTCTTAACTATATAGTGAGACCCTGTCTCAAAAAACCAAAACACTCCCCTCCAAAAAGATAAGGAAGTAGTGAATTTTTACATGAGTTACTATATATTTAAATAAATCTAAATAAATTCTGAATAATGTCATTATAAAAATAGGCTAAGGCTTTTAATTAAAATGATAAAGACAAGCATTTATTTTAATAATGTCTAGGGTATATTCATAGGCTATTAACTTTTATTATACAAAATTGCATTTTAAATGAATGCTTATGATAGGAGACAATGATTATTAATTTAAAGGGGCAAATTATATTTGCTGCAAAAAGTTCATTTTACTCCAACCTGGTGATAAAGTAACCACTAATGACCTTATTAATCTAATGAACCTGACCAGTGTACAAGTCTGGCCAGATCCTCTTAAATTTGGGAAAACATCTAACTATAT